CCAATAAAATAACAAATTTCAGTACCCACAATTTTCCATAGTCAACATATAAAAGGCCGTGCAAATCATCATTTTAGAATTAACTGTGAATAATGAGCCTAGAATTATTGATCTCTCAATCCAGTGCAAGCTATGATATGTACTTGTGTAGCCCAAGCGAGATTTTGTGCACAGGCACCACGACAGGCGTGTTTATGTATGTACGAGTGTGTACTTGGAGGCAGGATGGGCTCAACAATTTTTTGGAATTGCTTTGGCATAACTATTTTTTTGACACTTTTTCACTAAAGCTAGGCTCACACTCATTTGATGCGGTACATCCCATGTGATTCGCACAGGAATGCATTCCTATGCAAATCACATGCCATTTGTGTGTGCGTTGCGATTTGAGCCATACATTATGTATGGCTCAAATCACACTGCATCTGCACCAAAAAGGTGCAGGACCCTTTTTTGGATCTGGCACTAGAATCAGATCGCATGGGTATTCACATCTATGCAATCCGATTCTGCACATCGCACCGCGTTTTGCCGACTGATTTTGGGGTGTTTTTAACTTAACATACACACCCGCAGCGGTTCGCATGAACGGGGTGCGATTCTGATGCAGTGCAGAATTCACACACAAAACACTGCAAATTCTGCACCGCATCAGTGTGAACCCAGGCTAAAACTCTGTATCAAACGGGACAAAATGTCTCCTATATAATATGATGCCTTTGTGACACAGAGCAATGTTATACACGACTTAGTAAACACTTGTGGGGGTCAGAGAAAGCCAACAGTCGGCTTGTGAAAGATAAACACACTCCTGGCTGTTGTGGCAGCTGCAATGTGTGTGTAAAACCCCACGTAAGCCTTGTGTCAGTGGCAGCAAAAGGAAAGCAGTCAACCAATCACAGTTTGAGGGAATGAGAATTCTAGGGATGCTCTGTACACCAATACATAACAGAATTCCCCCAAGGTGACATATTCACAAGAAGTGACTTTTTCAGCAGTTTGAATTCAAATTCAATTACAACTACTTGAGCAGCAATTATATCCTCTATCTCATGTTATAGAAGTCATTAGAAAACCTTAAAAACCTTAAAAAGGATTGTAAACTTTTTTTTAAAATCAAAATAACAAACATGTTATAGTTACGTACACTGTAAAACGATTTCACACAGCAACCCCGATCCTCCTCTTCTCAGTGCCCTGTCGGCACTCCTGGCTCCTCACCAAGTGCCCCCATAGCAAGCTACTTGCTATGGGGGCACTTATGCGGGTTCGATCCAGAGCCGTGCTGTGTGTCCATTGGAACACAGAGCATGGCTCGGCCCTGCCTCCCACTCTCTGCTCACTGGCTGTGACTGACAGCAGAGGGAGCCAATGGCTCCCACCGCTGACTCTCTGCAGTGAAGACAGAAAGACGCTGTTCTCCAAGGGCACAACACAGGATTGAGATCGGGATAAGCAAGTATAAGGGGGTGGGGAGGGGGGGGGGGGCAGCATACAGAAGATTTTTTTACCATAATGCAGAGAATATATTAGGGTACAAACCCCCATCTTTTCAACCACTTTCACATTAGTCTTACGTTTCTTTTTATTCAGTTTTTTCCCCCTCACAATGATGTTATTATTCAATCTAGTGCATTCTAGTAACAAGTTAGCATTCTCTCAAATCAAGATGCTACAGCAACATGTCCATTGTTACTTCATATTTCTTTTCTCTAGGCTTCCTAAGTCACAGCTAACTTCTGACATTATCCAGTGCTGATTTCACGTTAGATCCATTACACCAAGTCTCTGTACTGCTTTATTCTTTCAAACTGGACCAATTCTAAGGGTAATGGGAGACCCGGTCTGTTAAGGAAGATTTCTTTTACAGGATCTTCTTGATTGATTAAAGTTTGTAAAACACTAACATCAAGTATCACCAACAAGACCTTTGCCATGTTTGGGTCTCACCAGAAATCCTGCCCGCTACAATTAGAGGATGCTGGATAAATGCTTCAACATACTGTAAACTTCGAAACATATTTGTCACGTGCACTATTCAACACCGACAACTAAAAACTGGTGTACTAGCACCTTTTTACCACCTTCCTTGTGTCCCCCCCCCCCCCCCCCCCCCTCCAAAAAATCTATTCCCATTTAAAATCAAAGGGTGCAGATGAGATCCCTCAGGGTCAAGATTTAAGTAAAAGTAAAGGTAACTTATCACAGTAGAAATAATCAACTCACTCTAAACAGCTGTCAAAAATCAGAACAGTGCTCCAAATCTTAACCTAACTAGAAAAGAGTATAGGGGTTATAACCTCTACCAAGCTTTATTTTTTGTCCATCATCACAGAGACTAAAAGTTATGGGAAAACCCCCACATTTTTGAGTTGAGGAGATTTAAGCTGGCCACAGATGGTTCAAATCTCGGCCGGTTCAGCAGGGACCGGCCGAAATATCCTGTAGTTGCAGGAAAGAAAATTGCATTGTCTACGGCCTCTAATAGCACCTGGGAGGCCAAGAAAGGCCAACCCGCCAAAGTAGCTTCGCTAGAGTGTAAAAGCAGAAAAACTTTACTGAGGTCACAAATCTAAAAACATAATTTAGCCATAAACACATAAAAAAATGGCCTGCCTTACTATCACTTCCTATTTTGTCTCCAGGACAAGAAGTGAAAGGAAAGCTACCCAAAGGGACACAGACGGCAGACAAACCTGACTGAGGTACATCCTAATCCAGGGGTCTCCAAACTTTCTAAGCAAAGGGCCAGTCTACTGTCCTTCAGACTTTAGGGGGGCCAGACTGTGGCCAGTGGAAGTGTAAGATGCCCCTGAGTCAGTGGGAGTAAATCATTCCTCAGGCTTGGTGGTCAGTAGGAGCATGTGTTTATTAAGAGGAGGGATAATGGCCCATCATTGGTATTGGTGGGAGGAATAGTACCCCATCAATAGTGCTGGTGGGGGAATAGTGCCCCATCTTTGGTATTGGCGGGAAGAAAAGTATACTATCATTGGTGTCAGTGGAATAAATAGTGCCCCATCATTGGTGTCATTGGGAAGAATAGTGCCCAATTGTTGGTTTCAGTGGGAGGAATTAGACCCCACTACTGGTGTAAGTGGAATGAATAGTGCCTCAGCCTTCTTGACAGTGGAAGGAATAGTGCTTCCTATCAATGAGAGAAATAGTAACCCGAGGGCCGGATAAGGGCAAGCAAAGGGCCACTTCCGACCCGCGGGCCGCAGTTTGGAGACCACTGTTCTAATCTAACAAAAAGAAAAAAAAAGTTTTGGCTTAGATACAATTGAATTCCTAGTAAAGTCAAGATCAGAATGACAACTTGAGAGCCTAAAAACATAAACAGTGGTAGATTGCATTATATTTACTGTTTACAGATTGATTTGAATATCAACAAATGCTTTGTAACAATGTAATCATTTAAGTATAACTGAAGGAAAAACTTTTTTTTTCAGTTTTGGAAGCGTGGAGAGGGATTAGAACACCTGTCCGTTTTTATTGTGGTCTGTGTCCCCATTAGGGAGATTCACCCTCTCTATTTGTCCTGTTAACTGCATCAACAAAAGTGAAAGTAAAAGACAATCCCAAATTTTAGGTTGTCTCCAGAACAGGAATAGTGGAGATATTTTTCCATTGTGGGATGCAAGTTCTGGTGACATCCAAGGACTCCATCACTTTAAAGGAATTTTTTTTTCTCCTTCCCTGTTTTGGCTACGGGACAGGAAGTGAAATCTGCCCAATGGGACACTGATGGAAAAAAACAAAACCTTCCAGGGGTTATAACCCTCTCTTACGCTATCTAAAACGGAAAAAAAAATTAAAGGCACTACTTTAAATGTAACGGTTTTTGGAAACCGTTAAATTGATGGGTTTAGTTAGGCTTTAAATGTAAACAAAAAGTGCCAGCCACATTCCACAGCTAGCACTGTTCACATGTAAATAAAAGCTGGCTGGCAGCTGCCAGTGTGGAAGGCGCACCCATCATTTCCAGCACACTGGATTCCTCGCCATTGCCACACTCATCTTAGCAGTACAGCCAACATGTGAAAACCAGCAGAAGCTGCCAATCAAAGTTACTGGCTCTTTGCTGTACACAGACTTGGCCCTGGTCACATGATCCAGAGGTGATCCTCCACTCTCAAAGTGTCTTGGCATATGCACATCACATATCCTAAAAAGCAATAGCTTTAACACAGTGGACAGAGTAGGATGGACCTGGCAGCATGTTATCAGGGAGACGGCTGCCTGAACCAGGAAGAAACTGCCAGCTCCCTAAGATGTCAGAAAGTAAGACGGTGGTGCAGTACCCGGTGTGCCGCAATAGAATGGTGGATCACAACAGAACAACACTGAAGTCTCTGGGCATGCAGTGTGTGTGTGGAGAAGCCAGTGGACAAGTCAAAATGCATGGAGGGAGCCTAAAGTTTAGCTAAAACTAAAAAAATCAGCACAAGGGACATAACTTTCAGTTAGTATGATGTGTCCCCTGTCCTGATTCTTCTGCTTACAGGAGAAATCTTCAACTGCCTTACCCTCTGAATGAAGGGGCTATCATTCACCCACCCCCTCCACTTAACGATCTTGTCATTCATAGAAGCTGTAGTACAGCTTCTATGAATGGTGGATCGGGCAGGTATAGTTGAGCTCTCTTTATGAGAGCTCCTGACAGCCCTGTAGCTTTATTAACCTACACCACAATGCAATGCTAAAGGGGAAAGGGAGGGGGACTAGGAAAGATGAAGAATCAAGACAAGGGATACTTCATACTAACTGAAAGTTAGGTTCCTTGTGATGCTTTTTGTTTTGGATAAACCTAGGCTTTAAAGTGTTACTAAACCCAGGACCTTGCATTTACTATATCTGGTCTCCCACAGTACACACAACATGGAAATGCAATTCTTTTAGTCAATATAAACTGCTAAATACCTTTTATCATCAACAGTTAAAGCAGTCTTGTAACTTCAGCAGAGCACTGGTTAAAGCTTGTAGGAGGGGTTTTCTTTCTGCTCTAGGAGGATGTGAAACCCCTGACCCTCTGTCTGGACAGTGCTGATTGATCCTGTGCTGATCACATGCACTCTCCCAAGAAAAAAAAAAAAAACCTCTCTAGCAATACACACCAAACTGAGCATGTGCATGTGACCACGGGTTCAGTCTGTATCAGGTCGTCATTTCAACAAGAGGAGGAGCACAGAAGAAAGGATCAAACAGCCTTTTTACACAATGCGGAGGATTAACCACTTAGGTTCCACAGGGAGAATAACAAGCATGCTTTACTGCATATACAGATTTTACTGTTGTGGGTTTAGTAGCACTAAGCAAACCCGAGCAGAAAACAGAATAATAATTGCCGTATATCTATATCAAGAGATTTTGTTTTAATGAAGTTATTAAAACTGAAAGTGAAGACAATCTTCCTTATGTAATAAATCCCCACATTGTAGTCTTGTGACTTCTTTCAGTGTCCAACGGAGCACTGGTTAAAGTTTGTAGGAGGAATTTTCATTCTCCCCTGATTGTCCTATGAGGCTGCATAACCCTCATCCTCTGTCTGGACAGTGCTGATTGGCCCTGTGCTGATCACATGCACTCTCCCAAGGGAAAAAAAAAAAAAACCTTTCTAGCAATACACACCAAACTGAGCATGTGCAGCTTGCCCCCAAGGCTCTTCACTATCAGCAGATGGATTTAGGACAATAGAGGGGGAGGATCAGAGAAGACCGGATCAAACAGCCTTTTACACAATGCGTAGGATTAAGCCCTTAGGTTCCACAGTAAGTATAACAAACATGCCTTACTACATATACAGACTGATTTTACTGTTGTGGGTTTAGTAACACTTTAACCTGTTAATACTAGCATCACGGAGGTGGGCCTTCTTCTGAGGAGCTGCATATATACACACACACCTGTGTATGTGCTAGAAGTACACTGCATAGCGCACTCCAAGCACAGAAACTTGGCTGTCACGGTCAGCTCCTGGTGACATACAAATGATCAAGAGCCAGGAGTAAAAGTAGGCTTCTGATCGACTGGCTATCGCAGTGATCATTCAATAAATCCTGCCCCTGTACTCTTAGTTTTGTTGTACAGCCCTTTGTACAAGTCAGGGGCTGCTCAAGGCTCTCTGCACTAACCAAGTTGACCATCACTGACTTGTAGCATCTCTGTTGTGTATTGTAAAGAAAAAATTCAGGGTTTATAAAAAAAAAAACAAAAACACATACCCACCTCTATACTACAGCATTGGTGTGATACTGCAGCTGTCCCATGTTGGCTCTGAGACTGAGAACTGAGTGATCACATGTCCACTAATCACTTAGTTCTCCGTCTACTCCAAGTGGTGTCTGTCAGTCACTGCTTTCTGCTCCGTTGTAATCACTGGAGCACCAGGCTGGAAAGATCGTGGGCACAGCTGGCTTCTTGAGGTGCACAAGATCCAGAGTCAGCTGTCAATCAGGCAGCTGGTTGCATCCCGACAATATTATCAGGATCCCTCCAGAGCCTGGACCAGCTCTGTGATGGCAGCTGATAGTGGGAAATAGCCCTCTGTAAAGTGACTCTGGGTCCCAGGACAGAAAAAGTAAGGACAGTTTTGTGGCCCACAAGAAAAGTAAGGCCTAAAAAAGCTTTGACTATACTTCTCTATTAATAGTAAGCTCTGCAGCTCAGTGATAAGGGACAGAAAGGCGTCTAATCACAGGGCTTCCACCCACAATACACTGCTGATGGGTGGAATCTGCTGTAATAGGACCGTACTTTTCAGACATATAGATCAGATCTGTGCCCTGACGAGGTGATCTGATGAAAGAGACCCACACAGTCTGCAATAGGATATATAGATAGATCGATAGCAGATCTGTGTCCTGCAGAGGTGATCTAACAGAGATGGCACACACTGTCTCCCAGAGATCCACGCTTATCAGAGATATAGATCACAACTGTGTCCTGATGAGGTGATCTGGTGGAGGAGACACACACAGTCTGCAATGGGACCACACTTATAAGAGATGTAGATCAGATGTGTCCTGAGGAGGAGATCTGATGGAGAGGAAACACATAGTCTCCAATAGGACATTGATCAGATATATAGATCAGATGTGTGTCCTGCAGAGATGATCTAACAGAGATGGCACACACTGTCTCCCAGAGATCCACGCTTATCAGAGATATAGATCAGAACTGTGTCCTGATGAGGTGATCTGGTAGAGGACACACACAGTCTGCAATGGGACCACACTTATAAGAGATGTAGATCAGATGTGTGTCCTGAGGAGATCTGATAGAGATGACACAAGCTCCCATAGGACAACACTGATAGAGATATATATCTCAGATGTGTCCTGAAGAGGTGATCTGATGGAGAGGAAACACATATTCTCCAATAGGACATTGATCAGATATATAGATCAGATGTGTGTGCTGCAGAGGTGATCTAACAGAGATGGCATACACAGTCTTCTAGAGATCCACACTCATCAGAGATATAGATCAGATCTGTGTCCCGATGAGGTGATCTGGTGGAGGAGACACACACAGTCTGCAATGGGACCAAACTTATAACAGATATAGATCAGATGTGTGTCCTGAGGAGGAGATCTGATAGAGGTGACACAAGCTCCCATAGGACAACACTGATTATATATATATATATATATTAGTGAGAACTTGCATCAAAATGGTAGAGCTTTTTTTAAAGCACACATCAACTTGCTTCTTCTTTGTTTTTAAAGGCCCTTTTAGCCCAATTTTATTTAAAAGAAAGTTCATTAACATGCTTTCCACACAGGGGTATCCATCATCAAACAAATGCAACAAATATTCAGCCTCCTGGCTTGTACACAGATTTACATCTGTCTCCTGCACACTCTTTCCAAAATGGTTATTTCGCACACAGCTACTCTGGCTTCCACCTCTCCTCAGAGAAGCCCACCTGACTCCAAGGCAGTGACCTCCTGTGTGCCGGGGTGGAGCCCAGAACCATAGTCAGGTTATTATTTAAAGCCCTGCACACACCTGTACCATCAGTGTGCTGGGGGTCCAGAAAACATGGACCCAGGATTGGAGATTTCATCCCTCCCAGATCACTTAGAAATCTCCAGGCTCCAGATCACAAAACAGACTTTACAAATAAATGAGGAAACTGAAGAGCCAGTTTCCTCTGCATTAAATAAACCCCCTGGAGCCCAGGGCTATAAACTTGATTCTGACCGTGGCAGGATATCGCACTGCCACATATCTCAGATGTGTGTCCTGTGGAGGTGATCTGATGGAGCGGACACACACATTCTCCAATAGGACATTGATCAGATATATAGCTCCGATGTTTGTCCTGCAGAGGTGATCTAACAGAGATGGCATACACAGTGTCCCATAGAACCACACTTATCAGAGATATAGATTAGATCTGTCCTGATGAGGTGATCTGATAGAGATGACAGTCTACAATAGGACCACAATGATCATGTATATCTCAGATGTGGGCCCTGTGGAGGTGATCTGATGGAGAGGACACACACAGTCTCCAATAGGACACTGATGATATATATAGATCAGATCTGTCCTGATGAGGTGATCTGATAAGAAATGACACAGTCTACAATAGGACCACAGCAATCATTTATATCTCAGATGTGTGTCCTGTGGAGGTGATCTGACAGAGCGGACACACATATTCTCCAATAGGACATTGATCAGATGTGTGTCCTGCAAAGGTGATCTAACAGAGATGGCATACACAGTCTCCCATAGAACCACACTTATCAGAGATATAGATTAGATCTGTTCTGATGAGATGAGTCTATAATAGGACCACACTGATCATTTATATCTTAGATGTGTGTCCTGTGGAGGTGATTTGATGGCGAGGACACACATATTCTCCAATAGGACATTGATCAGATATATATCTCAGATGTGTGCCCTGTGGAGGTGATCTGATGGAGAGGACACACACAGTCTCCAATAGGACACTGATCATATATATAGATCAGATCTGTCCTGATGAGGTGATCTGATAGAGATGACACAGTCCTCAATAGGACCACAATGATCATTTATATCTCAGATGTGTGTCCTGTGGAGGTGATCTGATGGAGAAGACACCCAGCCTAGCTCCATCCTCCCTACACACACACACGTGCATTTGTTGACATCAGCCTGTCCTGCAGAGCCCGACTCCCCCCTCTGATTACAGCCACCCCCTCAATCTCCGGATCCATGGGGGGGTACAGTGATCCCAGCCGTCACACAGATCCACATGGAGGGTGTCCAGGTGCCCGATGACCTCTACCCCCCAATCCCATAGCCCCCAGCCACACTGCCTGGCTCTCGGTCCGGTGGATACTCACACAGCTCGGAGTAGCGGTGGGCCCCCCGGCACAGCTGCTGCAGGTACCTCTGCAAGACATCTGTGAGCAGGTCGCAGGCAGTCACCTGCACGGAATCCCAGCCCAGAGCTTGGCAGATCTGCGCCACCGACACCCGCAGCAGCGAGCGCGAGTAGCTCTCACACATCCCGATTTATCCGGCTCCCATCACACGTCCAGGCGCCTCGGGATCTCCGCTTCTCCCTCGATTAGCCGCACGGTCCCTTCCGCGCTCTCACTCCTGCCGCCATCTTTGCCTTCCCTCCCCTCGTCGCTGAGCTGAAGCTGCAGGCCGCACCAATCCATCGCAGTGCGGCTCGATCGGGTTACTTCCGGTTGTGATCCAGAGCTCGGCCATCAGGCGTTTCCAGAGGAGGGCGGGGTTATAGAGAAGCCGAGAGGTGACTAGGAGGAAGGCTGTGTACCGCTGCCCATTACTTCTATATCGGGGAAGTGGCGTGAATGGCTGTATTATCCATGTGTGACAGAAAGTCTGCTACTAATCAGGAGGGCGAACACGGCGGCTTAGCCTTCTCTGCCAGAGACTCCTGGTTCTCACATGCCAAATTACCCCTAAAAGATTCCAGGGGACAGTCATGAGAACTGGAGCAGATGTGCAGACTAACCAATCAGCTTCTAGCTTTCATTTTCAAAACTTAGAAAAAAAAACTAAAGGCAAAGTTTTTCCTGGTGCCTCCATGGCAGCATACCTGTGATAAGCTCCGCCTTGTGCTCCTCCCTCAGGACCAGTGAATATTATAAAAAGGAAAGGACTAAGGTACCAACAGCATTCTCCTTTTTTCCCCTCATACTTCATGGTCAGTCAGGAGGTTACCTCCGTTGTGAGCAGCTTCTGCCTGGGTTCAGCTTCTCCCAGCCGCAGTCCCTACTCTTTGACAGCTAAGTGCTTATAAGATAGGGAGTCCCTTCTGTGGGTCTTTTGGGACAGCAGCTGTCTCTTAACCAAGAGCAGTGTATCTGGTGAGTACATGGCGTCTGTTGAAGCTTGGGACAGAGGGAGCAGCTATGCTTCGCCTTTTCTCAATAGTTTTTATGGTAGCTTCCCATGCGCTTGCCCTGTATTTTCAGTCTTGCTTCTCAAGTCCTTTGGTCTTCGACTTTGTGGCCTCCCCTTTCCTTTTCCTCACCCTCTCCCTCCAGGTACTTTATCTGTTTTCCCTGTGTGCCCGCTTCTTACTGGCCTTCCCCTGTTTCTGGTGCCTATAGAGCCCTGCGCACATTCCTCTCCCGATTTTTTTTTTTTTTTTTTTTTTTTTTTTTTTTTTGTGGCCAGCATCTTCCCACCTGCTGTGCGAAGGCACCTGGCATGACTGGTCTGGCTGGTTGGGTCCATGCGCCATCGGGTGGCACATGCACAGTCAGCCAGAGTTACTCAAATTTTTTTTCTTCCAGGAAGGGAGGGAGTTTTCCCATTTTCTCCTCCCCCTTTTACTCTACGCTTTCTG